TTTGTACATATTTTATATACATGTGTGTGTGTACCATAGACTGGTCATTAGAGTATATTAGATATATGTGACCATAATTGACAAAAGGTACCTTATGGCAGGTAGTGAAATTTGTCTTTCTAGCCTAAGAAATCCAGCTTCCTTAGCCCCATTTATCATAAAATTACTCCACAGGATGCAAAAAGTTACCATGAAACTTTTAGAAACAATGATTGTCTAACAAAGCACTCACAGGTTGATATTTTCCATTATAACAATCAATTTTAAAATCCGCCATAAGGGCCCTTTTGTCAATTATAGTCACATATTATAGGTCTGTCTAAACATCACTTTATTTGCAATAGCATACATTGTGAGTATTATACATGGTACATAGTGAGCAGCTTGGAGTACAAAAAGTGGGTGTATCTGTCACTGAACTATCATTGAATTATATTCATGGATCATTATCAATTTCACGTGAAAGTGATTCTCTACTACATTGTTACCATTATTATGACCAAATAAGGTCATTTCACACAATGAAGGCAGACTTCACTATAAATTACATCTATACAATCACAGAAGAAAATTCCATTGAATAGAAGTAAGGAACAATCAAACTGATGTAACACAATCAATAATAATTATCGTACACACACAAAAAGTAATATTGAATAAATGAGATAAAATGATTATACACACAGAGTCTACACTGTATTTACTGTCATTATAATGTTATTATTAATTCTTTATTTTCCTTGCAAACAATCTTGTATATACACCATCTAATAATAAATGAAAATAATGATACATCATGTACATGTATAAGTAGAGTGATGTGTATAGTGCTATGAAAATTGTGTGACAATTATATCATACCACACAAGATGATTTATTGGTCAGAAATTAATATTGGCAATTGGCAGTTCTATAAAGAAATCGCCATATAAATCCGCCATTTCGTTTCAATCTGAGCATACTTAATGGCACGTGGCACAAAATTGCCAAACCAATTAACTTTCCATAGGCAAATTTGCTAAATACTATTCTCGCCAATAAATCATCTTGTATGGTAGTTACTACATGTAGTTGTTACTATTAATAGTATCAGTGATAGTGTTACTATTAATAGTATGAGGTACTTACTGTCTCCTTGAGTGAATTCAACTCGTCTCACTTGATCTCTATCAACTTTATAATCAATACTAATGGAGGAGAGAGGGAGGGAGGGAGGGAGAGAGGGGCAGAGGAGGAGGGAGGGACAGAAGAGGATAAAAGAGAGAAAGAAGAAAGAAAAGAGCGAGAAAGAGAGGAGGAAGAAGCAGAAAGACACAAGAGAATAGATAAAGAGAGAGAGAGAGAGGGAAGATAACATAAGAGAAGGGATGATTCAAACACACACAACAACTAAAAGACAACATGTACAGGCACATGTATATGTACATGTATGTTATTACATTTACAATATTTTCTTGTGGGAATTCCTACTCTTAATAAATGTCGATACTCTGTCCAAATGTCTATATGCCACACACACACACACACACACACACACACACACACGCACACACACACACAC